TTCTTCATGAAATGAGTCTTACTTCGGTTGGAGGTCCTCTCCTCTTCCCTACTTCGCAATTCTTTCATCCGTCTCCGCTTCAATGACATTCTTCGAGAAGAGCACAATATCGTCCGCAAAACGAAGATTTGAGAGGAACTCTCATCAACCCGTATACCTCTCTCGTTCCAATTCAGTGATTTCATCACACACTGCAAGGCGACGGTAAACAGCTTTGGCGACACGATACCGCCCTGCTGAACACCCTTCGAGATTGGTATGTTAAGGGGACGATGGAAAAGGTGTATCGTTATAGAGCAGTTCCTGTAGCAGTCGGCCAATGTCCTACGTAAGATGGGTCCGTCAGGATATGATCCACGCAAGTGAATTTCTTGAGAAATCCAGCTTGCTCTACAGGTTGGGCTTCTTCCAGTGTTCTTAATATGCGAGGTGACTTTCGTAAAGAGCTTATAAAGAACCTCCAGAGGCATATTGGACGGTAGTTCCGAAGATCCTCCCTATCGCCCTATGAAGAAGGATTGTTTGGGAGGTTCTCCACTGGTCGGGGATGCTTTTGAATGTGAGACGTTATATGTTCTACAAGTGACTCGTGTAGGCGATGCCCTCCACCTTGTAAGAGGTTGGCCGAAAGAAACACCACCACTAGGTGCGCGGTGCGTACTTCAGCAGATAGAATCCGTATGGTGGTATTTCTCCAGTGGGGATAACGGGGTTTGACGCAGGTGTTGACGAGCGGAAGAAATTGGTGTGGGATCTCTTCGTAATCGAATCCATCTTTTGTCGGGAAAATGTGCGAGTCCCATCTTCGTCTAGTAATGTTTTGTCGGGAAAATGTGCGAGTCCCGTCTTTGTCTAGTAATGTTGTCAGCGGTTTACGCAGTCGAGAGGTCCCGGCGGTATTATCTTCCACTTCCTCTTCCTTGTGTTTTTTCCAAAAGTTTCGACTGTCTGTACTTTCGCAGTTCTTGCCAAGCTGTTCTGCAACTGCGGCTACCAATCGTTCGAGATGTGACGCAGCCGAATCCGGCCTCAGTGCTCTCCTCTTCTTTAACAGATCCTTGGTGGCTCTCAAAACTTGTTCCAAGTTTCTTGTTCGAGGCATCGAGGCTTTCCACGGGCTCTCAGTCCTCTGAAAAGCAGGTCATATTTTGTTGAGTCCTCCTCGATGGGCCAGTCGTAGGTGGTCAGGAGCTCTCCCAATCTTACGCTGTCATATTCAACTTCTCTCCTTCCACTAACACGGTGAGATCTTCTTTTCCAAGCTGAACCGCAGTTCTGCTCGAAGAAGTGTTCTGAATCACTGCTGAAGGATGGTACTGAGACGTTTAGT